CGAGGAGAAAAGGAATGGACAATTTTACTAACAGTGTCCCAGGTAACATTAACATACAATTTGCCCAGAAAATCGCCCTACTAGAGACATAACATATACTAAGAAAAGTGCTATCAATTAAATGACAATTCTTCTATAGGGCCCAAACAGCATAGTTTGGACTCGGCTCTACAGAATGCAAAGCAGGAAACATAACACACAAACAATAATAATAGTTAAAGTTTAAGGGAAATGAATGAATATGACAGGCCTGTGTACAGACAAGAAAGTTTATGGAATGTCAAGGAAGTTCATGGAATGTCAAGGAAGTTCATGGAATGTCAAGGAAGTTCATGGAATGTCAAGGAAGTTCATGGAATGTCAAGGAAGTTCATGGAATGACAAGAAAGTTTATGGAATGTCAAGGAAGTTCATGGAATGTCAAGGAAGTTTATGAAATGTTAAGGAAGTTCATGAAATGTCAAGGAAGTTCATGGAATGTCAGGAAAGTTTATGGAATGTCAAAGAAGTTTATGGAATGTCAAGGAAATTCATGGAATGTCAAGGAAGTTTATGGAAACAAAGAACGAAAAAAAGAATCCACTAAAAAAATGTGTTTTTATCATTTCACCCGAAGCAAGACAATAAAGCCACTAAGACACAAGGAGTTAATGAGTGTGAGAGAATACGAGAAAAAACATTATTAACGATAGAGAACAATAAAAGATAATAAAGAAATCAGAAGATAACGATTGACATTGCATTAAAATTTTTGAAGATCAAAGCTGAATGGAAAGCAAGAAGCCAGAAGAGAGTTTCACAAGCGATAAGTGCAAGAGAAGAAACTGTTAGCATAGAACCTACGGTTACACCTCGATATTTCAACAGTAAAATGGTAAGATCTTGCCATCTATCTAGAACTGCGCTTAAATTCATAAATTCTAGGTTCTAAAGAGGAACGCTCATCAGAACAATTACCATGAAAATATTTATGGAAATGGCACAGAGAAGCTATTTATGGTGGTGGGAAAGTGACTGAAGCCAAGATGCCAAGTCAGGACCGATAACATTGCAGATCCTCCTTTGCTGGAATTGAAGGAAGAGAGTGATGAAAACGGAAGAGAGAAAGCTGGGAAAAAATGAAAAAAATGCCGACAAAATTTATAGTTGTTAATTGATTTACAGTTTCTCTATCCCTGAGGGCTTATTTAAACCCTGAATATAATTTAGGCTGTAAGAATATTTTTATGAAGGGATGTTGCGTTAATAATCTTTTCTTAATTTTCCAGATACAAATCCTACCATTTTACCCATATGGCGGGGGGTAGAAGAGATGGATTCATATCTTTCCCATGTGAATGTAACGTATTCGACTGGAACTCGAACAATGTTCTACAATTTTGGCATTCAGAATAGCATTCCTGATTTTAAGAATTATTAAGAAAACAAGCAAGAAAGAAAGCAAGCAAGAAAGAAAGGAAAGAATAGAATGTGAAGAAAGAAAAAAGAAATAAAGAAGAAAAAGAAAAAGGAAATGAAAAGGAAGAAGAAAGCTAAAGACAACAAAAAATAAATATAGAAAATAACTTATTAGAAACAAAAAAGAGAAAGTTGCGGGAAAATAAAAGTTCCGCCAAGGTTTAGAGGAATTAAAGGATGAAGAAAGAAAGAAAGAAAGAAAGAAAGAAAGAATGGAAAAGTTGCTATCGAATGCTTAACGTCTGCTTCCGGCAAATGGAAAGAAAGAAAGAAAGAAAAAAAGAAAGAAAGAAAGAATGAAAGAAAGAAAGAATGGAAAAGTTTCTATCGAATGCTTAACGTCTGCTTCCGGCAAATGGAAAGAAAGAAAGAAAGAAAAAAAGAAAGAAAGAAAGAAAGAAAGAAAGAATAGAGCGCGTAGTATAAAAAAAAGGATGGGTGTTAAAGAAAGAAAGAAACAAACAAACAAAAGAGAAAGAAAAGAGAAAGAAATAGATATAGAAAGAAGGAGAAAGGTATATAAGAAGCAAGGCAGAATGAAAGAGGAAGAAACAGAGAAAGATATAAAAAGTGAAAAAGAGAGTGAAAGAGAAAAATAGAAACGAAAAAGGAATAGAAAAATAAAGTAAGAAAAACATCAACTAAAAGAGAAATTGAAAAATAGAAAATACAATTGAAAAAGAGAAGGAGAAAGAAATACAAAAAAGGAAAGGTAAAGAAAGAAAGAAAGAATAAGAAAACACAAACTAAAAAAAAAAGAAAAGAACATCGTATGAAAGAAAAAGAAGAGAAAAAAGAAAATAAAAACAAAGTAAAAAACACTCAAAAGGCAAAGAAACTGAAAATAACGTATCAGCAAAAAAAAGAAGAAAAAACAGAAAAAAAGAGAAAAAAAATAAAATTAAAAAGATAAAAAATAATACAAAACAAGGAATATTGGAACTAAAATCCCAAAACTAAAGAATCCTTACATTTTTTCCAATATGGTTGACGTCATCCATCTGATAAATATCATGGCAACTCTATCTAACTGGTACAAGTTCAAAAGAAGGTTCTTCAATGCCAGTAGCCGAGAAGACACAAAAGAATGACTATGTGTATGTTTAAGTGTCTAATCCTTTGCCTTGCCAACAGCCACTGCAATTTTCCTTTTGAGAAAGCGATCCATCATTTCTTTCTCTTACACATGATTGCGATGGCACTTCACGACTGCAGGATAGAAACACATCTAATAGGGCAGTAGCAATGTTGGTCGCCATTGAAAGACATCAGATTATTAGACGCCGACACTGTGACCAAGGAGACCGGAAGTATTGTGCAGAACATTTCTCTTCAATCTTCGGTGACGGGAAACGTAACCCCGGTGAGATTTTTACTAACTTCCTGCACGAATGGATTCATCGGTTGCATTTGTCTGTTCATTAGGGTTGCTTGTCGATTATTTTCCTTCGTATGCTTTGGGATTTGCCTACCTGCTCTTTAAATAATATATTTTTATGTATCAATGATTTAATCTCTGTTGCATATCTCCCTTATTTTCAGTTAATGTGTGCAGAGAAATCCAGAATTTATACTGGACGTAAACGGCCTACATGCAGATAGAAAATGAATTGAGTAGCTACACAAAAATAGAAAGGAACGTGAGACAAGGGTGGGTCTTCTCCCCAGATTTATCCAACTTTCACATCAACTCTATCCTAAAGGAGCTGGAGATCCTATCAGGATTTAGTATCGGTGGGCGTCATCTTAGCAATATAAGGTACGCATATGTCATTGTATTGATGGCTGATACGAGGAGAAAACTACAGGGCCGCTTAGACAGGGTAGTAAAAGAAAGACAGAAAAAGGGGCTAACTGCAAGAAGACAGAAAGTATGATTACACTACTCAACAACAAAAAAATTATAAATGGTGTCGAGACACCAAACATCTTTTTTAGCTAATTTGATGGCATTGAATCTGAAAATGACCTTACTTTTTTCTAACGTATTTGCTGTATAGAAATGCCTCATTTTTGGGGAAAAAATCATTATTTTTCATTTGTTCTCTGTGTATATGAAATTGAGCGATGGCAATATTTCTCAAAATAAAATCGTAGAAACTTCTCAATTTGTATTTACACCAACAAATATTGGTCTGCTTATTGAGAAATACTATTTTTGCAATAACAATCAGACCTTAAGTCTTTAAAAATAACACGATTGAATATACCAAGACCAACAACTATTTTCATCAAATCACTTAATAAACTAACACCAGGAATAAAACCTTCGTGAACATAAGAACTATGGAAAATATTTTCTCTTTCTTGATTGTCTGTCATGTTCAATGTTATTTAAGTCCCTGTTGATATTCCAGCATTATTATGTACAATGGAATATGTGGATTCAATTGGGATGTTTTTAGTTGGTTTCTTTCCAACTATGAAAACAAAATGCTGTCAATGTGTTTGGTTTCTTTCTTAAGTGAAGGGATAAAAGTGATGCGATAAATTTATGAATATCAAACAGATTTTAAGGTTTCATTTTTTTATGACACCTTAATTATCAGGTTTACTAAAGTGTATTACTGATAATGTTTATCAATTAATTTGAATTTGAGCGACCAATTGGAAAACTTCAGTATATCTGTTTTAAAATCTTTGACTCAAAAATACATTTTCTTTATAAAAAAAAAGGTTTTTTTAGGTGGCTGACATAAATTGCTCAGCCTACTTGAAAACTGATGGGTTACTTTAACTAAATTTCGCGATCAAAATTGATCTTTTTTTAAAAAAAAAAAAATAAGCAATTTCAGTGCAACAAAAATGATAGTTAACTATGAAGAACTAAGGTCATTTTCGTAATCAGCACCATAAAATAATGTTTTTTTTTCTTGGCACCAAAAATCGTGTTGACCAGTGTTATCGAAGGAAATAGCCACGATATCAGTTACAAACTGAATATGTCAAGCAGACAGAGAATTTGAAATATCTGGGTCGTGTTTAATAGCGGATGGAAGATGTGACACTGAAATCCAAACACGCATTTGACTAACGAAAGAGACTTTTTTTAGAAATTAAGCATGTGCTGAAATACAGAAAAAATTGTCAGAAGCAAGATTAAGAGTGCTGGATTGCTAAGTGATATCAATTCTGGCAGTGAATTGCTAGACAATTTCCCTACGTATAAGGAGAAAACTGGAGTCAACAGAAATATTGTTCTACAGAAACATACTAAGAATTGAATGGATACAGCGAGTAAGCAACGAGAAATTTTAAAGAAAATTGCAACGAGACAACTTCTTGAAAACATATTGAGGAAGAAGGGCTTGGAAAACTTTGAGGGCAAGAGAAAATGCAGTGAGCCATTTACCTGAAAAGCTTGTGTGAATGAATTGTGCAGGAGCCTTAGCAACAGTTAAGGGTCAAAGGGTACAGGAAGTTGGAGAGAGCCATGAATTTCCATGTTTGAAGAGCCGTGGCACATAGAAGAAGATATGTAAGTACATATATAGACCTAACAACCTCTGTTCGTTTATTTATTTTTGTCTCCTCCCCTTTTGATGTCCCTTTCTCTATCGTTACTTCACTTTTCTCGTTCTTTCTCATGCAGTTTCTCAAAGTATACGGAGGCACGGTGGATTAGTGGATAGAGGCTCGGATTGAGGAATCGGAGAGCCGAGTTCGAATTCCTGTCGCATCCATTACATTCACTTACGTACTAATAGCCTTGGAAAAGGTATGCATTCTCCTCTTCTCCCTCCCAGCTATGATCGGGTTTTATAGCCTTGGATGGCAATGGTCTACTGCAGAAAGGAATGGCAACCTAAAGCGGGGAAAAAATCTGCCTCTTCAGTCATGTATCAAAAGATACATGATCGCCTAAGTGTGTATCACACATGGCACATAACTGACTGACTGATTCTTTCCCCTCCTAAACCCGGTTCCGCCATCCATTTACTCAATATCATTCTTCTTCTTTTATGTGCTGTCGCCCTTTTGGATGTTGGTGATGATGGCTCTCCACAATTTCCTGTCCTTTGTAGCGCTTAATTAATTTTGTCTTTTTGTTATTTCTCCTAACCCCTATTCCGCCATCCATTTACTCAAACTCATTCTCTTTCTTTTATGTGTTGTGTCACTTTAGAACGTTGGCGATCATGGCTCTCCACAATTTCCTATCCTTTATAGTTCTTAATAAATGATTTCATTTTGTTATTTCTCCTAAAACCTGTTCCGACATCCATTTACTCAAGCTCATTCTTCTTCTTCTTTTATGTGCTGTGTCCCTTTAGGACGTTGGCGATCATGGCTCTCCACAATTTCCTGTTCTTTGTAGCTATTAATAAATTTTGTCTGTTATCGGAGAGCTTTTTTTCGAATTCCAGTCGAATCCATTGCATACATTAACGTGATAATACCCTTGGGAATGGTATGAATCCTTTTCTCCCCCCCAAACTATGGGTAAATAGTAGGACAGGCCTGGTTTTATAGTCTTGGATGGCAACTGGTCTACTGCAGAAAGAAATGGCAACCTACTGCGGAAAAAATCTGCCTCGTCTGTGTATCACGCATGGACACATAACTAGCTGACGTGCGTGGGCGTTCATACGCGAGTGAATGTAGGCGTTTAGATATATTCATACCTATCTAGCTTTCTTGTGTTACTGTCTGACGTCAGTCGATTGAATTTATGCCACACAATTTAAAAATTGTCACAAATTTTCTACTATCTTCCAGTCTTCTATCCTCTTACCCTCCATTCCCCCTCTCTCTTTCTCTCACTTTCACAATATTCCATTACTTTTCTCTCTCTCTCTCTCTCTCTCTCTCTCTCTCTACATATAGGTATAGAATTTACAATTTTTTTTCTAAGTGACGTGTCCCTTCAGCTCATGGGCGTTCATGGCTCACCACATTTACCTCTCCTTTGTAGCTCTTAGTAAAGTTAGTCTTTTTGTTGTTCTCTCATAATTCGCTATTACACAAGTTCATTATATAGGTCACTCGCTGCTTTCCTCTGTCCCTAATGTCTTCAATATTTTGTGAGTGTCAAATTTTCCAAACCCTCTTTCCTAATTATGCCCCCCAGTAATTTCAACTTTCTTTTCTTTTTCTTGATACTAAGTATAAGCGTCCTTTGTGTTTACATTTTTAATCATTTCACTCCAAACAAGGCGATAATGCCACTAAGACGTAAGGGGGTTACGTAAGTGAAAGAGAATGAGAAAATTTTAGTAAGGAGAAAGGATAAAAAAGGTTGCTTTTGACGTTTCATTTAAATGTACAATGAAGAGAAAGAACAAACAGAAAAGTGTCGAGTCGTTAATATGACAGTTCCTCGAGATATGTATGAATACCATACATTTCCCCAACATCCAACCTATATTTTTACCTTTTCGAATTTAGAGTTGACTTTCCTTCGGTAAGTTAAAAGAAACACAGCCAAAAGATCTTAAAATCTCCATTCCCCTCTCCATATTAAATATTTAATAAGCAAACATATAGTGTTATATTTTCAAATGTAAATCATTTTCACCAAAATTAACGAAAATTGCTTGATGACGACAAAAAAAGTCTCGAAACATAGAAATTTAATAAAAATATGACTAATATATATATATATATATATATATATATATATATATATATATATATATATATATATATATTATCACGTCAAAATTATCCGCACTTTCAATATAGCGTGTTATGAGTGCGTTTAATTTTTTACATTGGTTTGTGTGTGTGTATATATATATATATATATATTAGCGGCTCGAACTGAGGGCTCGGAGAGTCGAGTTCGATATCAAGTCGAATCCATTGCATTCACTTACGCGCTGATACCCTTGGGAATATTGTAGTTGGCAGGGAAGCAAGAAATCGGAAAGGAGTTCCATAGGTGAAAAGTGTGAGAAAAAACTATTAGAATAGAACATACGTTTAAATGTCGCGAATTCATCGGAAAATTATGAAACCTATTAGCCAATCTAGTAGCGCACTTAAATTGGTTCTAATGAAGAGAGTTCGCTAGAAAAACAGCCATAAAAGTATTTATAGAAAAGAGAGAGGGAGGCTACACGAATTGACTGAAGGTGAGTAGCCAGGTGAAGACCTATAACATTACAGACCCTTTGGATTTTGTCGAGACTTTTTCCCGAAAAAATTTCTCGTTGCTCATGTGTACAATCTATCATATTTTCAGTATTCCTCTGTAGAACCACCTTTTTATTACCAATTATTCGAAAAATACTTCTGACAAAGTAAATCATATATTTTATATAAACCAGAAAAAAAAGCACGTCAGATTATTAAGTCTTTTATAAACTCCGATCTGAATTCATCATTGCTTGAACGAATCTCGAAAAAATCTTATCCTTTATTTTCAAAAACCACCAAAACGCAATATTCGTTATGAAAACATTACATTTTTGGTGTTTTGTATTGGGTTGGTGCATAATTATCAGGTGTTTTTTGGAGGGGAGATATTTGTTAATAAAAATTGCTGTTTTGTTTAGTTGTTTAATAAAAATATTATATTTTATTTTCAGGTTATAAAAATGCGTGTCGATAATCATACGCTCCAGAATAATCATTTAAAAATGTTATTGTTGAATTGTTATGTATCTTTTTTCATAATAAATATTGTATAAAAAACAACGATAATTATGCACCAACCCAATATATATATATATATATATATATATATATATATATATATATATATATATATATGTGTGTGTGTGTGTGTGTGTGTGTGTGTGTGTGTGTGTGTGTGTGTGTGTATGAATATAAAATTAAACATCGAAGTCAAACCTCAGAGGCTACAGATTGTTTCGCGCTGGACGCAATCGCCTGACGATTGCGTTTAGCATGAAACAGCCTGTAGTCTCTGAGTATTGACTTCAATGTTCCTTTCATAATCATATTTACATACACTCTATCTCTGATATTGATCACTTTATCCCATAAATATAGAACACCTTAAAACTATATTACTTCATATATATATATATATATATATATATATATATATATATATATATATATATATACCTATTAGGTCGGTGCATAATTATCAGGCATTTTTGTAGGCGAGTTATTTGTTAATAAAAATTGCTGTTTTGTTTAATCTTTTTAATAAAAAATATTATATTTTATTTTCAGGTTATAAAAATGCATGTCGATAACCATATACTCCGGTATTTCGCTCACTGGGATAAACTGTTATAGTTCCACGTGTCATGCTTAATGGATATCAGTTATCGTATGTTATGTTAATTACCATCTCCAAGTTCTCCACGGATATTGAACTCACACTGTTTGGGTTACTGGATTTAACAAAAGTCTTTATCCATTGTGCCATGTGTCCTTGAAGACATCTATGTGCGAATTTCTGAGTATTATAAACCTAATGTCTTCAGCCACCATATTTTTTAGTTCTCATATTGCAATTTTCGTTGTTATTATCGCTTTTCTCTGACACTCCATATTACCGGTTCCCATATTGTATTCATTTCTATCCTTGGTCCCATATTGTATTCATTTCTATCCTTGGACAGATACTGAGATGCCATTGTTTGGAAAAGGGTAAGGAAAGACATGGTCATCTCTTTATTTATAAGAATAGTATAGATCGTTGATTTTGCCATACTAAATTGAGTAGGAAGAGACAGTATCATCAACAATTGTTTTTCTCTCAATTTTTCTTTTTCCTTTAACAGTATCATTGCTAGCTTTCTTTGGAGCCATGACTGAAGACTAATAAAGAGAAAAAAGGTGCAGTACAATAAAATTGGCAAAGAAAAGCACAGTATAACACACGAATGTATACAAGATGGCGGTCGACTAAGAAATGATTCCGTTCGGGCTAACACGGTTCGGCAATGTTGCTTGACAACCGAATTTTGTTCGATAACCGGGGAATTTTCATCTCGAATTTTCTGTTCGAAAACCGATTTGTCCGACATGTGAGACGTTCAAGAGCCGACGTTGCTCTGTATTATTAAAAGGATTATTTCTTTTCTTTTACCTTTTGTCTTATTTTGATTTTCATAATACTTTTCTTTTTCTCTATACGGTATTATTATAATTATTATTATTATTTGTCTCTGTTATGTTTCCTGCTTTGTATCTTGCAGAGCCGGATCCTAACAATGGTCCTTAGGCCCTATAGGAGAATTGTCATTTAATTGATAGCATTTTTCTTAGTATATGGGATGTTCCTAGTAGGGCGATCTTCTGGGCAACTTATATGTTGATTTTACGTGGAACACTGTTAGTTAAGTCGTCCATTCTTTTTCTTACGAGGCCCAGAGCTCTGATTACTATTGGTACAGTCTCAGACTTTATTCCCCACATCCTGTTAATCTCGATTTCTAAGTCCTTGTATTTAGATAATTTCTCGATAATTTCTATGGTGGCGTTTCTCTCAGATGGTACTCCTATGTCAATAAATATACAATTCTTCAATTTCTTGTCTTTTATGATAATATCAGGTCTTCTGTTGAATTTTATTATTATGATTATTATTATTTGTATTATCTAATGTTTCCTGCTTTGTGTCCCGTACAGCCGGGCCCAAACTATGATCCTTGGGTCCTATAGTGGAATAGTCATTTAAATGATAGCATTTTTCTTAGTATATGGGATGTTCCTAGTAGGGCGATTTTCTGGACAACTTATATGTTATGTTACGTGGAAAACAGTTCGTAAAATTGTCCATTCCTTTTCTCACGATTCCCAGAGCTCCGATTACTATTGGTACAGTTTCAGTTTTCATTCCCCACGTCCAGTTAATCACGATTTTCAGGTTCTTGCATTTGGAAAATTTCTCGATAATTTTCATGGAGGTGTATCTCTCAGATGCTGCTGCTATGTCAATAAGCATACACTTTCTGAATTTCTTGTCTTTTATGATAATATCAGGTCTGTTGACTTTTATTTCTCTGGCAGTTTGCATTGGCATGTCTCAGAGGATAGTTACATCGTTATTTGGGGTAACTGTGTCTGGTTGGTGGTCATACATCACTCAGTGGTCTCAATTTTCCGTTTCTTGCATATCTTCCAGTGCATCTACCTTGTTATGTCTGTGAGTATATTCATTTTTTGCCAGTTCCGGATATCCTGGGATAATATGGTCAACAGTTTCACCATATTTTCCGCAGATCCTGCATTTCAAGTTAGTTCTATCCTTGATAATGTGACAGTGATAGAATCTGTTGGTGAGGCTTTGGTCCTGAGGTGCAATAATTGGGCCTTCTGTCTTAGCCTTCAACCCGGTTCAGACAATTATTATTATTATTATTATTATTATCACTATTTTGATTTTCTTTGATTTCTGGCGTTTACATATTTCTTTCCGGGTCCCGCTCAGGGACCTAAGGTTAGAAATGGCGTCATGACACTTTCCACTGACAAAAAAAAAAAATTAAATTACATAGATAAAACCCTTCGTAAGGTGTGGGCTGTACTTGTCAGAACAATTTTTTGTATCTCCTTGAGGCATGGACTTCCAGGAATCCCTTCAATTAGTCTACTGCAATCTTTTCCAACCAGTCCTAGGGCTCCAACTACAACAGGGATTGTTGATGTTCCCATATGCCACATTTTCGAGATTTCTATTTCAAGGTCCTTGTATTTTGACAACTTTTTGAATATCTTCAAAGATACATTGCAGTCAGCAGGGACTGCCATATCAATAAGGAGGCATCGTTTTTGTTTGTGGTCTTTAATAACAATGTTGGCCGGTTGGCCTTGATTGTTCTGTCAGTGTGTATTGTGTAATCCCATAGAATTGTAACAGGTCTTATCTCCGTAACCGGGTCTGGGTGGTGTTCATACCAGTCCCTTTCAGTTTTCTTTCCGTAGAAGTTGCAGATTTTCCAGTGCAGATATTGGCCCACTCTGTCATGTCGGGTTTTATATTCAGTGGGTGCCAACACCGTACAACCTGATACAAGATGATCAATCGTTTCTGGATATTTATCACAGAATCTGCATTTTGGGCTGACACAATATTTTAGTATATGTGCTTGATAATTCCTAGTTAGCAAGCATTGGTCCTGCGCAGCAAGGATAAAACCTTCAGTTTCCGCTTTCAACCCTGCACTAAGTAGCCACTGATGGGTACGGGTTTTGTCTACGTCAGCTTGTTTGGTACGGGCAGAGTATTGGCCATGAAGCGGTTTATCTTGCCATCGCTTCTGTAACTGGTCGGTTGCATTCGTCTTTGCTGTCTTTTTTTGGTATTTTGCAGTTTCAGCCGGTGTATTGTGCTGTGGTTGCATCTATTATTATTATTATTATTATTATTTCCTTTGATTTCTGTTGTATAAACATTTCCTTCAAGGTCCCAACTAGAAACCTAAGGTCAGAAATGGCTTCATGACATTTTCCACTGATCATTTTTGTAAAAGAAAAAAAAAAACAAAGATCTCACATTTTACATAGATAAAGTAATGTGCGAGCTGTACTTATGAGTTCGTTTTTTGTATTTCTTTAAGGCAAGATGGCTACCAGGAATCCCTTCAATGAGTCTATTGGAGCCTTTTCCAATCAATCCGAGGGCTCCAACTACAACTGGAATTATTGATGACCTCGTGTGCCACATTTTTGAGATTTCCTCGTATTTTAATTGTCTTTTTGTAGATCTTCAAAGATAGATCACAATCTGTATATTATTATTATTATTATTATTTTTATTTTCTTTGATTTCTGGCGTTTACACATTTCTTTCCGGGTCCCGCCCAGGGACCTAAGGTTAGAAATGGCATCATGACACTTTCCACTGACAAAAAAAACAAAACAAATGATTACATAGATAAAGCCCTTCGTAAGGTGTGGGCTGTACTTGTCAGAACAATTTTTTGTATCTCCTTGAGGCATGGACTTCCAGGAATCCCTTCAATTAGTCTACTGCAATCTTTTCCAACCAGTCCTAGGGCTCCAACTACAACAGGGATTGTTGATGTTCCCATATGCCACATTTTCGAGATTTCTATTTCAAGGTCCTTGTATTTTGACAACTTTTGGAATATCTTCAAAGATACATTGCAGTCAGCAGGGACTGCCATATCAATAAGGAGGCACTTTTTTTGTTTGTGGTCTCCAATAACAATGTCTGGCCGGTTGGCCTTGATTGTTCTGTCAGTGTGTATTGTGTAATCCCATAGAATTGTAACAGGTCTTATCTCCGTAACCGGGTCTGGGTGGTGTTCATACCAGTCCCTTTCAGTTTTCTTTCCGTAGAAGTTGCAGATTTTCCAGTGCAGATATTGGCCCACTCTGTCATGTCGGGTTTTATATTCAGTGGGTGCCAACACCGTACAACCTGATACAAGATGATCAATCGTTTCTGGATATTTATCACAGAATCTGCATTTTGGGCTGACACAATATTTTTAGTATATGTGCTTGATAATTCCTAGTTAGCAAGCATTGGTCCTGCGCAGCAAGTATAAAACCTTCAGTTTCCGCTTTCAACCCTGCACTAAGTAGCCACTGATGGGTACGGGTTTTGTTTACGTCAGCTTGTTTGGTACGGGCAGAGTATTGGCCATGAAGCGGTTTATCTTGCCATCGCTTCTGTAGCTGGTCGGTTGCATTCGTCTTAGCTATCTTTTTTAGGTATTTTGCAGTTTCAGCCGGTGTATTGTGCTGTAGTTGTATCTCTACGCCCATTTGGAACTCCATTTTGAATTTGTTGGCTTCTTTCATTACGGAGTAGAGACGCTTACTACTTTCATGTTCCTTGACGCATACCATCATCCAGTCTTCTGTAGTTTCCAAATATCTTTGGAGGCCAATTGTTGTAGTTTTGTAGGACAGTTCTAGTTGAACTAATCCTCTGCCTCCTTCGGATCTGGGCACATAAAGACGGTCGACATCAGCTTTGGGATGATGCATGCGATAGCAAGTGAGTAGCTTTCTCGTTTTGGCATCCATTCGCTTAATTTCAGCTATGGTCCAGTTAAGGACATAAAAGCTGTATTGCACCACAGGGACAGCCAATGTGTTTATGGCTGATATCCTGTTTTTTGAGTTCAGCTCAGTATTTAGTACCAGACGTACACGCCTGTAGTATTCTTTTCTTATTTTTTCCTTCCTTTTTTGGGGGGGTGTTGTATGCCATCTCCTTCGCTAATTCCAAGGTACTTATAAGCTTCACCATGCTCCAGTTCCCTAATCTTTGTGACAAAATCTAAATCTATTAAGGGTGTTTCTGTAATTCTACCTTTCTTGAAAGTTACTTTTGCACATTTATCTAATCCGAAGTCCATACCTATGTCGTCACTGAAGTATTTTACAATATTGAGGAGGCCTTTCAACTCATTGTCGTCTTTGGCAAAGAGTTTGAGATCATCCATGTAGAGTAGGTGGTTGAATATTTTCTTATTTATTTTGTAGCCATAGCTACTGTTGTTCAGTTCATGTGTAAGAGGGATTAAGGATAAACAAAACAGAAGGGGTGACAGAGAATCTCCTTGAAAGATTCCACGTCGGATACTCAGACGGTTGGATATGGCAGTGTCCCCGGTGTGACTAAGGTATAGTTTGGTGTTCCATATTCCCATGCTGTGCTTAAGGAAATTTAATACCACAGGGAGACTTTGTACATTTCAAAGTCTTAAGGATCCAAGAATGTGGAACACTATCAAAGGCTTTACGATAATCAATCCACGCTGCACTTAGATTCCTGCGTCGTCTCCTGCAATTTTCCAGGATCATTTTATTTATCAGGAGTTGATCCTTGCAGCCATATGAACCTCTTCTGCATCCCTTCTGTTCCAGCGGGAGAGTGCTGTTTGTTTCGAGAAAGGAATAAGTACGGTTCGTCAATACAGACGTGATCAACTTATACGTTGTGGAGAGACATGTTATTATTATTATTATTATTATTATTATTATTATTATTATTATTATTATTATTATTATTCTGGGTTGTTTCATTTTCTTTGTTGGATTTTCTTCTTTCTCTGTCAAGTCCGACGTTATTTTTCTGTGTTTTATTTTATTTCATGACGATTCAGTTTTCTGTCTAACCATTTTGTCCTCTGATCTTTCATTCTGTCTCCATTAAGTTTTCTTTCTTTGTGTTTTTCTTTCTCAATACTATTACTTAATCTTTATTATCATTTTTCTTTTCTTTCAGTTTCTTTATTTCTTTCTTCTTTTTTTTCTATTCGTGCAATTCTTTCATCTTTTCTTTCTTTTGCATTTCTATTGTTTGTACCTTCTTAAGACCTTTTAATATTTTCTTTCTTTTTCTTTCTTTCTTTCTTTCTTTTTCCTTCCTTCCTTTCTTTCTTTGAGGAGTCTATTGTCAAATTTACGTTTTCTTTCATATTCTATTTTACTATATCTCTTTCCATTTTTCTTTCGCAAATTCTGTTTCGGCGGTGTTATCTTTTCTTTTCTTTCCATTTTCTTCTTTCTTTCTTTCTTTCTTTCTTTCTTTCTTTCTTTCTTTCTTTGACATTTATATATTGTTTACACTTTCTTTCTTTTTGTTTTCTTCTTTCTTTCATTCTTTCTTTGAGCATTCTATTATCAGCTTTGTCCTTTCTTTCATTTCCTGCTTTCTTATATTTCTTTGTTTCTTTCATTCTTTCATTCATAAATATCCTCTCCTCAGTTGTTTTTCGTTATTTTTTTTATTTTTCCTTATTCATTCACTAA